TATTCTCTACTAATTAAAATCACCCCCACCGAGGAAGGGGAAGCACTTCTACAGGGTATATAAGAGCCACACAAACACACTTCATCTTAGGAAGCACTTAGGGAAGCTCCCAAGAAAGCAGTGTTAGCAAAAATGGTTGGTTGGGATGCTTGGATCTCATAGATGCAAGTGTATCAAGATGTCTGCCCACAAAATTCAGTTGCATTTAATGCTTCGGAATATGTATATTCCAGTATTCCTTGTATGAAGTAAATAGTAATGTCAGACACTGTTGTCACACCGTACTAAGTAGAAGTCTAGGGCTAGCTTGAATGAGCGTTAACTTTCTGAATTTTGACTGCTTACAGTTGCTGGTACCTGGTGGCATTTATTTTCCCTCAAGAAGGACCTAGGAACCTTATGAAGGGAGGGAGGGTAGATGCTCGGCCACATTCCTTCCATTGTGTTATGTGTGTTCCTTTTTTTCTTATCAATTTAGAGTTCTTCTCTGGAAAAAAGAAAAAAAACTGTTTCGTGCCTCTCTCTCTCTCTGTCTCTCTTTTTTAATGTAAATGTGCAATTGTACTGGATTTTCTCTTGTAAAAAAACAACATAGAACAAACAAACAAAAAAAAAAAAAATCACACTACAATTCCTTTACTTAAGCTCCTAAACTGCCATTTGCCTGATTCCAGCAATTAATTCTGAGGTAACTTATTGAGCCTCCAGGAATTCTCTTGATTGGATATGATCCCAGGAGAAAGAGCAAAATGGAAAATGCTATGCATGTTACAAAGTCAACTCGCTACCAGTAACATGCAGCACAGCGCACCAAAACACTAAACTTTGCTCTTGAACAATTATATAGTTTGATATCCTTTTAAAAAATAATTTAAGAAAATCTAGGTTTTATCATACTAAAACTTTATTTTATATATATATATATATGTGTGTGTGTATATATATATATATATATATGAGATAAATGTTTGCTTTTTTTAAACTTACTAACATGAAGGATTTCCTTTAACATTCAAAATGTAACTCTCCTATTGAAACCGTATTCCACATGAAATCTTATCTCCTTGCTTTGTTTTGGACTTAGTGCTATTTAATACCTGATGACTTTTATATGGTAAGCCAGGGTACATCCTGTATACTTACAAATACCTTAGGTTTCAGTATTTTTATGCAGCTTCTTCATCATGTCACGTTTTGTTGGTGTTACAACAGCTCTGCTGAGATTTTTTAATCTTTTTAGGGGGTTGGGGGGTACCTAATAGGATCATTCTGCCATTTCAGAAATCAGGGTGAAAACAAAATAGCTAACCATAGCTCTGGAGTCTTCGTCCAGGAGCGCTCTTTAATGGTCCAAAAGTGGCTTTAGCCCATGCCAGTGCCAGGGTGCTCTCCTCACCTCCGGAGTGTCACCGCCCACCTGCATGGTGCAGGCTGTGGAAGCAGTAAGGCGGAGAGAGGGCTGTGCTTTCTGTGTGCATCGTGTGCACGCACTGTGCTTGCCCGTGCTTCACCAACGAAATGGTCCAAAGGACGTGTTGCTCACTCATAGTCTGTAGTTGGTATTGGTTAGCTTGTAAATCTGTATGGTCAGAGCAAAAATGGTTGGGTTTTATTCTTGTCCAAAAATGAAATAACTTAAAGCATCATGGGATAATGGTGGGTTCTTTTTTTTAGCCTCATGTTAATTCTTTGGAAGAAGAAGCGAATGTAAAATTTTTGATAATCAGCATAAAGCTTCAGAAATCAGATGGGTAACAACTACAGAGGAAATCCCGGGCGGCCTTCCCCTCATTCCTGGAAGGCCGGTCCGCTGGAGGGATTCACTTCTTTAATAGCTAATCAGGGCTAGAGTCAGGAGGGAGGTGGGGTTTATTTTCATTTTTATTTTAACAAGTTCCTACTCTACCTTAATTCTCAAAGATGATCTAGCCTAAGCTATAGAATAGGCCAACTTTTAGAATCACTGAAACTTGGAGCTATCTCTGTGTTCAAGTCAGGAACAAATGTAAAAACTAAAATAATAATACGGGGATGGCGGCTCCCAGCTCCCTTCTGCCATTTCCACATAATACTTGGAAACATGCTTGTAAATAATGTTCTGCAATTCTGAGATAATCATGTAGAGGACTCTCAGAGTGGGCAAGCCCTGGACAGGTTTCTCTCCCGGTTCATGAAGTAGTTTCCTTTCGGCCTCATCGCATGGTTTGTGTTCCGGCCAGGGCCAGGGCCAGAGCCAGGGCCAGGGCGAGCGCTGCAGTCTGGATGGCAGAGAGCAGCCCTACAGAGCCTGGTCTCTGGACCCCCCCCCCCCCACCAGGGTCCTTTAGCATTCACCTTGAAGTCAGGGCACTGCCGCCTGCCGGGTCCCAACAGATTAAGAAAACAGGTTGCTGCGGAGCCCTTAGGTCTTGGGAAGCTCACCGGGGAGGTACCTCTGGCAGCGCAGACTCGACTTCCCGAGTTGGCCAAGTTGCTGCAGACTGAAAGTGATCATTTGGAACGATTTCCTTTGGCCTCGGGCCACTTACAGTTGGTCCCTGGTTGTCTGTAAACCAAGAGTAGAATGCGCCTCCACTTTCAGCTAAGCTGGGGAACAGATCTGATTAGACGGCTTTGCCATGTATTAACGAAGATTGAAAAGTTGGACATGTGTATATACTGAAATCTACCAACTTTTCCCCGGGGCGGGGTACAGGGAGGAAAGGGGGTTAGAACAGGGTAAGGGAGGGGGAATGATGTTTACCACAGGTACAAAGTAGTCACTTTAACATTGAGACCTCTGCCTCATCGAATTCAGGTTTTTTAAGTACTTGAAACTCTTCATATTCCCCTTATTTTACAGATACTTTTAAACTTATGAAGTAGAAAGCATTGTTTTGTATACTGTTTTGAAAACAAATAACCTAGTCTCGTCCTCTTCAACTTGGATTAAAGGCAAAGTTCTGCAAATGGGAGAGAGTGTCCACAGCAGATAGCTCAGATTTCATGTACACATTCGGGAAGAGACTCTTGCATGAAATACCAGCAGCATTTTTATGAGTATTTCCCACGTGTGTTCTTTATTTTGTCATTTTGTCAACCCTAGCCCCATGCACCTCTTCTTTCCTTTTAATATATATGCCTGTGTAGGGAAAAAAAAACACAAAAATTTGCACTTACGTTACACTCCTGAAATGCAGGGTGTAATCTGTGTGTTTCAGAAACCATTTCCGTTCTTTTCTCCGTCAGTCCATTGCTTAAGTGACAAGTTCAGGTGCTTGTGGCACAAATGTGTGCGGGGCGGAGGGGGGGTCGGGGGGGGCAGCCTGCCCTTCCGTAGCCTGTGAAAGTCAGTTATGCGTAAGAGAAAGGGAAAAGATGAACAGTTGCCAAAGTCATTTATTCGGTCCTTAGTTTTCTTATGTGACCTTCCACATCTGCGAATTGGCAAGCAAGCCCCCTTGGGTGCCGGTTCCCCCCCCCCCCACAGCCAGCCACAGACCTGCAACGTGTGCCCGAGGCGCGGTGTCCATCAGATCACCGGGCCAAGGTATGTATGAGGTCTTCTTGTCAGGTTAGGAGTGGACTGGATACAATTTACTTTTTTACTCTGTTGTCATTAATATTGCTCTTTATCTCATTTGTGCTGTCACATACCCTCTGTTAAAAAGAAAATCACATTGCCTCCCATGACCAAGATGCTAAATGATGATTACAACTGGCTAATAAGATCCTTTTTCTATACAAGGGTGTGTGCACAATTGGAATTGATACGAGAAATTCATTTGTAACCACTTGTGATATTGCACAACAAACACAGATACCTACAGATTGTTTTCTTTTTCTTGTGATCTTTATCTATGATAATGACCTTTGTAGATTGGTTATTTCTGTACTTTGTTTATCTGTAATAAACTTTGTAGATCCTGTGAAATGTTATTTTGCCTAAATCACTTGAGACTTGAGTCTTTAATAACAAAGCATCAATATTCACTAAAGTCAATCTCTTTTGAGTTTCTGTGACTTGGCTAGAAGCTCTTGACACTTAAGAGATTAGTGTCATTTTCCCTGGGGGGTGTTCCACTAGGGCATTACTGTATAATGACTTGATGTTGCCACATAGACTTCAAGATACATGATATTTTGGGGATTTTGTTGATTGGCCTATGTTTTACTGCATAGTGTGAAACGTGTAAAGCTTGGTTAACCTGTATATAGATAGCTTATTGTTGACTAGTTATAGTGTATTTAGGATTGCCTGTAATTTTAAGCTTCTTAATACTGTGTGTGCTGGTAGGAACATAAATTTTTGTACATTTACTGAGATGTTGCTTTTTTTATTTTACAAATACTTTGGAATTCAAATGTGTTTTTTGCTTCCGTGAGGATTAATTTGGAAAGGTTCTTAATGACATTCCACTGACTTCAGATTTTGCTTGAGATTGACTTCAATAAATTGTCCTGTATGTTCCAAATTAAACTGTGGACTTGTTCATTGCCTGTAGTTTCTGGCCACAACTGCTGGCCTAGAGGCCCTTAATGGGAAGGGAGGGCACTGGGTGCCGGGCTGGAGGACCCGAGACGTGCCCGCCCCCCACCCTCCCGCCCCCCGGCCGCTGAGGCCTGCGGCACAGCCAGGTCCTCCGAAATGCTGCCATGCCGCAAATAGACGTGGGCTTTGGTGGTGTTTTCCCAGAGGGAAGGCCCTTGGAGAATGCTGCTTCTCGCTCAGTGTAGTAGGATACTGTGGAGCGAAGGGCGGGAGGGGAAGACGTGCATCACTTTCATCCCGGGCGCCAGCTCGGGGTCGGCGGCCCCTGGAATGGCACTGCTTGCAAGCTTGGGGCGCGCAGAGCCGCGCCTCCCGCTTCCCCGCGTCCCGGATCGCCGACCCGCCCGTCGGGTGCAGTTCCCCCGGCGCCTGCCAGCCCGCGCCCCGAGCCCCCGAGGCCCGCCCCCGGGGACAGCCCTCCCGGGGGCGGGTCCGCGTCCCGCCGCTGCCACGTCAGCGCAGCGTCTGTCCGCGGCGGACGGCAGGATGGGGAAGGCGGCGGCCCTCGGCGCCGAGCTGGGCGTGCGGCTCACCCTGTTCGCGGCCTTCTTGTAAGCGGCCCGGGCGCCCCGGGGCCCGGGAGCCGCGGCCGGCGCCCTCTCGTACCGACCGGCCGGAGCGGCGCGCGGGCGGGCGGGCTGTCCACGCGAAGGAGGCGGGCGACCGTGCAGCCCCCGCCGGGCCCGGGAAGCTAACCCACCTGCTCTGCACATTTTTGTTTCCGCTCCAGGGTAACGGAGCTCCTTCCTCCCTTCCAGAGGCGGATCCAACCCGAGGAGATGTGGCTGTACCGGAATCCGTATGTGGAAGCAGAGTATTTCCCTACCAAGCCCATGTTTGTGCGTGGAGAACCAGCCTTCCTTCCGCCCCTTGATACTTAGTACTGAGCTTGATGCTAGGGCGCAGGTGGGCCTTCTGGCTCCGGCATGATCTTTATGCTCCCTTTGATGAGGTGCTCGACATTTTGTTTCCTTATGATTAAGATCCAAATTTAGAGGAGCAAGATGCCAGTTTGGGCTCCAGAGACACGTTCCGTGAGCTCTGCTCCTTAGGATGGCCTGACGTAACCTGGCCCTTAGAATAACGGCCGATGGCGGTGGCGTTTGCTGGTGGAGCTGCCCCAGGCCCAATTACCCCGCAGACACTGCCGCTGCTCATATTGACAGGGACCCATTTAGGTCTGACCTGTGACTTCCGCTGTCCCCTCCCCATCCCTCTTCCCTGTAGGTGCTACTTGAACCACTAGCTGCATGGTTTTACTAGGGGCTGGGTTTGGGTTTTTTAACCTCTGCCATCTTCTGGTTCAGGTCATTGCATTTCTGTCCCCACTGTCTCTGATCCTCCTGGCCAGATGTCTCAAGAAGGCAGGTGCGACAGACAGCAAACAAGCCTGCCTGGGTAAGAACGAGCCCTCTCTGGCGGGGCTGGTCTCTGGCTCCTCGGTGCTGGCATCTCCGCCACTGGAGGTGTGACCTCTGTGTGTGGAGGCCACTGAGTTCTGCATTCCTCGAGGTGTCCTGTCTCCCCTGTACCCTTGTCACCCGTGAGAAGACTGGCACTCTGAGAACATTGTTAACCCCCGAGGTGAACGATGCGCTGGATGATTTGAACCCCAGCCTAGTATCCAGCCTAGTACGGAAGCTCTCTCTCTACTCCACCACGTGCAAGGCTAGAATGATTTTCCTGCTCCGCTCTGGCTGGAGCCTGCCCGCTTCTGTCTCAGAAAGACCCTGGCTGCTCTCTTGATGGGACCGTGACCGCGCAAGTCCTCCTAGGCAGAAAGCACTAACAGGAAGTTTCTTTGCGTTCCAGCTGCCAGCCTTGCCCTGGCTCTGAATGGTGTCTTTACCAACACAATAAAACTGATAGTGGGCAGGTAAGTGACCAAAGTCCGCGCCCCAGAGCCTGCCTCGCGCCTCCCCCCCCCCCCGGCCCCCAGTCCGCAGGAGATGGTTAACGGCACCCTGTCCTCTATCCTCAGTCTGACCTTGCTCTTCTCACCTAACATGGCCTCCCTCCCCTACGCTGTCCTGCGGGTGACACTTGGGCTCTTTGCTGCCCTGAACAGCGTTTCCCACTGACCGGCACAGCGGGGTCCGTGTCCCCTGGAACACCCCCTGAAGCTGCAAGGTGGCTTGCTCTTTGCCCTAAAAAGTCATCGTGTGTTGGACTGCCCCCCCCCTTTAAATGTGGACCCTGGAAATGATGTTTTTCTTTTAATGGTGACTATCCTAATCCAGTTTCATTATTTTGCCTGGGACCCTAAATCTGACCAATTGTGAACAGGATTACAGTATCTGATACAACCAAAAAATAATTTCTGGAGTTGTTAAGTGATCTGTGTTGAGACCCTGTTTATTTTTTCAGGCCACGCCCAGACTTCTTCTACCGCTGCTTCCCCGACCGGCAAGCCCAGTCCGACTTGACGTGCACAGGGGAGAAGGACGTGGTGAATGAGGGCCGCAAGAGCTTCCCGAGTGGGCATGCTTCCTGTATGAATACCACAGGGACTCAGCATCTGCGCCTTTTTGGGGTCACTGAATTTAGCTTAGGGGGCTTATGAGGAGGGGGCCATCTCTCTACTCTTGTTCTTGTATCTAAAAACTAGAGAATCCCCTTCTCCTTTAATAACACCAAGATTTCACAAGCTTGAGCCTCAAATATTAGGGTAAATATTCGAGGACAGAGGAAGTAGTTTAACCTTCATGAGATTTGAAAATTTTATGAGTCTTGTATTATTTGTCTAGATCCTGCAATCTGTTACTAGTTAGAAAAATATTAACTAACCTTTATTGCAGGTGCTTTGGAAAGCTTTTTATTCTTATCTCTTTTGATACCATAATAGCCCAAAGAGGTTGATACTATTATTTTTATGATTCCTATTTATACATCAGGAAACTAAGGCATCAAGAAGTAACCTGCCCAAAGTCCTACTGCCAGTATTCCCAACACTATTCCCAAGAGTCAATATTATTACCTTTGGGACACACAGTAAAGTCCTTCATTTTTTCTTTTGTTTCCTCCTCGTCAATGATCTACACCATAAGTGTACCAAAAAAGGTTAAAACGTGTTCATGCCCCCAGCCACCTATTTGCAGATGAGCGAGGGAGCTTCCTTTAAAAGACATAATACTTAGAGGTTTTCCCTCTTCTAGTTGCATTTGCTGGTCTGGCCTTCGCTTCCTTCTACCTGGCAGGGAAGTTACATTGCTTCACACCACGAGGCCGTGGGAAGTCTTGGAGGTTCTGTGCCTTTCTGTCACCTCTCCTCCTCGCGTCTGTGATCGCGCTGTCCCGCACCTGTGACTATAAGCATCACTGGCAAGGTAATAAGCAAGGTGGTCCTGCCATGCAAGTGTGCGTGTTTCACCCGCCACCATATCCCTAGCATTTGGCACCGAGGAGATGCTGACTGTATCTGTTAAATGAATAAACAAATGAGTATGGGGTGGTCTGGGTTTCTGAACCAAGAGTATGTATCGCTGTGTGGAAGATGAGAAAGCACGGTTTCCTTTTAAAGAGATTACCAAGGAGAAGTGTCCCAATTTTTCCATTATTTTGAAGCATCCTAAGTTCAGAATAAACTCTCCAAGAATTTTTTTCTCTAAGAAATTTTTTACAAAGATCAATTTATTTACTGTCTTAAAAAGTTTGTAAAAAAAAAAATCAAGCTCATTGTCATGAGATTTTTGTTCAGAAACCAAAATTCAAGAGAATATAAAACTGTAGTTAAACCAAAGAAATTCAAGTTGAATGATATAGTAAAACATCCAAATTACAGAGTATCTTCACGGAAAACCTGTAATTCAAAAAAAGCTGATAGTATTGCCCAGAAGTCCTTAGGAGCCCTGTTTTAAAGAATAAGCTAATTTTTTGCAAAGAAGGGCAACTCCTGAACAGTTTATTGCTTCCTCTAGAACTCTTTACATGGTGAAAAAAGGGGTTAATAGCAGTAAGTGAACCTTTGTTATCTTGAATTTTTAAAAAATTCACTCTAGTGGGAGGTGGGTGGTGGGATGGGGTAACTGGGTAGATGGGCACTGAGGAGGGCAAGTGATGTGATGAGCAGTGGGGGTCATATGCAACTGATGAATCACTGAACTCTACCTCTGAAACTAATGATGTACTATATGTTGCCTAGTTGAATTAAAAAAAATTCAATCTAGTGTATCCTTGGAAAAAGGCTTATACTTAATTAAAGATGTGTTTTTTTTAAACTATTTATTTGGGCGAGAGAGAGGGCAACAAGTGGGGGAGAGGCACAAAGGCAGAGGGAGAAGCAGGCTCCCCGCTGAGCAAGGAGCCCGATGCAGGGGGTGTCCCTGGAGCCTGGCATCATGACCTCAGCCACCCAGCACCCCCAAAGATGTGTTTTAACTTGTTTAGGAAAGAACCTGATGATAATCCTGCTAACTATATGATAAAATTGAGAAAGCCTAAAGAAACCGTAAACCTGAAATTGAGGTTTTTTTGCACCCAAACAAGTAGAGTAACCTGGAGGGCCAAGTTCTCCATAGAGGCATCCCCCATTGTACTGCACTGCACAGAGCTGTGTCTCTTGCCAACGGAAGGTTCTAGCAACCCTGCACTAAGCGGGTCTGTCGGCACCATTTTTCCAACAGCATTTGCTCACCTCATGTCTCCGTCATATTTTGGTAACTCTTGCAATGTTTTAAACTTTTTCATTGTATTTGTTATGGTGATCTGTGATCAATGATTATGACTTGCTGAAAGCTCAGATGATGGTTAGCATTTTTTAGCAATAAAGTATTTTTAAATTAAGGTATATACTTTTTTTTAGATCTAGTGCTACTGTACACTTTAATAGACTGCAGGATAGTGTTAGCATAACTTTTATATGCACTGGGAAACCAAAAAATTCATCTGACTTGCTTTATTGAGATACTCGCTTTATTGGCAGTGATCTGGAATCGAACCCTCAGTATCGGTATGCCAGTCCTGTGTGGTGTTTTAACATGATTTGAGAGTCCAGTACGATTAAGAAAAGACCTTATCTCCTCTCTTTTAGATGTACTAGTTGGATCCGGGATTGGCCTGACATTTGCCTATGTCTGCTACAGGCAGTATTACCCTCCTCTGACGGATGCAGAATGCCATAAGCCATTTCAGGACAGACTTGTACTGCCCAGGGCACAGAAGCCTGGTGACCCTTATCATTTTAGTATTTAGAAATCAGAACTATCTCAATGGAGATTAGGTGAATCAGCCCCTCTTAACTGCGCAAGACAAGAAAGTCTGACCTTTTTACTCTTTAAGAGATACAGGTGAGCACTTCATTCTCTCTCTCTATGTTTATGCAGTTTTACTCACATGGATTTGTCATGAGTCAAGGTTCAAAGTTCTTTTTCACGACTCTGTGCCACACATTCTGTTAAAAAGCCAGTAGTCCACCAGATTGGTATCCCAAGATCTACAGCATTTTACATTTAATTTAAATGTCATTCTTGGAAGGATCTTTCACAAAGAAACCTTTACATATTCTAGAACCCAGAGTTAAATTTCCATTTTCCATAGCTCAGAATCTTAAAACCCAGGGCATGACCGACTAAATTATTTTCGTTCTGTTTACTTTCTCTGATGACAATTCCATCAAGCCTTAAATAGGAAAATGTGCAGTTGTGGCTTCCTTACCGCATTATACATGTATCTTATTTGAGTCTAGCCAGATACTGCTGTCCATTTTGAATCCTGTGGGCATAAATTATTTATTGAATCACTAAATAATTTTTAAAAATGGTAAGGACAAATGAGGTGGAAATCATCAGTTGCTAGTATTGAAACCACACTCCTGAACTGTGTTCATGAGCTCCTTTCCCTCCATGCATGACTGAAGATCTGCCCAAATGCATCAACTCTGCAACTGGCTAAGGCAGGAAAGAAAAATTACACATGTCATTATCTGGAGGACAAATGAACTTCTTCTGTCCTTTCTTCATAATGGGATATAAGGAACAATTATAGGACATCATCAGAACTAATGCTATAGGACCTACAACTGCCCTGCTCTTTGCAATTATACTTTTAACTATGACCTTGTCTTATGTGTTTCTATATTTTCGATGTATCTTTCTCCTTCAATAAATTTGACAGTCAAAAATGGTGAAGGTGGGTGTTTTTGGTACATAGAGTACCATTCGAGAGCTGGAACATTTCCAAAGTAAAAGACTGGATTCCCCATCTGACATAAGTGATATAACTAGCTATAGTAGAGGCTGATTATCTGTAAATATTGAAGAACAGTCTCAATGTTGACTTTGTAATTACCATGCTTTAAATTCTGAACTACATCTGCCTATGATAATGAAAACACCAGTCAAGGAAAAAGAACTTAAATATTAGTTCTTTGCCCCAAACTTTTATTTTTTTAATTTGTTTAATAACATAAAGGGGAAGAAAATGGTTATTGTATTAATTTTCTCTATAATGGATCGAACCAGGTAAAAGTAGGCAACTGGTCAATATGGTTTTATTTCAGTATTTCGTAAACTTTTAAATAGAATCATGTAAAAAACATTTCAAAAAGTGCAAAATATTAGAAAGCTCATCAGTGCTATTAATATTTCCATGCAGACAATCTCTTGCTGAGCTAAGCAATACAAATTCTGTAGCAGGGAATATGTATAAAATGATACTCCACAGAGTTTAAAAAATAGGCTTGGTCAAGAGATTGCACATGATACAACTGAAGTAGTGCAAATAATATACAGCTAAGAATTTAAATCAAACTTACTATCCTGTGTACTATACAACCATGATGATACCATAGGTGGAGAGACAAGATACAAAGCTCCTTTACAGTTGCCTGCCCCTCACCATCAGAAAACATTTCTTAGTACCAACAGTGGTTTATCTAGGTATCCAGGGTTATGCTGTCATCTTTGGTTACAGGGACTCATTCTTGCTTATCCTTTGTTTTACTCTTAAATAGTATCTATTCTGCTAATACGAAGAATAAATTTAAATTTGAAGACAACAACTTGACAAAAGCTTCCCCTTTAAAATATAATTGAATGCTACTTAATATTCAGTAACCCTTACTCAAACTCAGTTTATATAGTAAAGAAAATAAAAGTATTCCATATATCTGACGCTTCTTAGTGGCTTAGCATTAGTCTATAAGCAGATGGACAAGTAAAGGCCAGGCATGGGTCCTGTACCCCAGCCTTACCTCTACCATCTCTAGGGTGACGGTGATTAACCTTCCCTTTCCTTTTCTCTCTCGAAAGGGATAGACACCACTGCTGTCAAAGGGATGGCTTAAGTGAATGTTAAATGCCAATGCACTGGATACCATGATATATTTACAAATCATTTTTTATAAAAAACAAAACACAGCTTGCCTGCCTCGGCCACTCTATAAACAGAGAGGCCTATGGGGAGGTTGGAGTGGAGGGTAAAGGACTATCACAAAGAGAACTGCAAGGTCAGTGACAAACTCTGACCAATGAGAAAGAAAATACAGCACAGTGGCGAGCAGATGCCCTGGAAAAAATCAGTCTATATGCACCCGTCTTCAAGGTACACCTCACTTTGCATGTTCTGACGTGGACTCCACACTGGCTGTTCCTCCACTCCTACAGGCATAGGTTTTTCTTTCAGAATAAGAAGGCTTTCCCCCAGCCAAAGCCACCTGCCCAGCCAACACTGCCTGGGCCATGGGGCTGCTAAATAAGCTTTCTGGATTATGGGTACCTAAGCAGGCAATGGTGTTTACAAAATGTTTTCAAAGAGGACACACAATACTGCCTTCACCCAAGTGGATATGGTGGCTGACTCACAAATTCTATTTCACCTTAAATGTACTACTGAGAGATTTTATTCATAACCAAAGCCTTTAGCCGGTCAAGGCTGTGTGATTTCAGGTTTGCCAGCCTTTATAACTTTGCCCTCAACTTAAGAACAGAAGCTACTATCAACTAAGTCAGATTTCATCTAGAGTCTCCCCATTTGAGCATGATATAAAAGGATGGGTCTAGGATAGATAATATCTTTGCTTTATAAAGATGAACCTAATGTGAACTAAACTATCCACTGTAAACTCTGAAAGCAGCTCAAACAGCTGGGAAAACAATGAATAGCATCAGTGATTTCTTGCCATCAACTGTCAGCTGTAGAGAGTAAACAATACTCTCTGTAAGCTACATTTCAGTCCCTCACACAGGACTTGTAGGAAAGAAAAGCTGGCTCAAAGGAAGGTGCTCAACAATCTTTTTCACACCCACTTAGCCTTCAAATGCAGAGAACACCAATGAGAGATGAGTGTACCCCAAAATGCCTTCCGAATCTCTGGAGTCTGCTTCCAAACTAGAACATTTTCTAAAGATAAGCAATAATTTCCTAGAAAAATTTCTACCAAGCCAAAATAAACTCAAAACAGACTTTATACTATCTCAAGTAATAAGCAATAAAGGATGGCACCTATCATCCCGAATTAAAGATGCAAACAACCCCCACTATGAAGAGTGGCGAGTGCTTCTATAAAGCCAGTGGTAAAAAGTAATAGGGTCTTCCCTTTGTTTTTTCACTCACGTCCGAGATAACAAGATTATCTTCCAAAGACCCCGGTGGTAAGTGGCAGGCAACATGCAGGAAATGATGCGGCTGAGGAGAGGGAAACTGCAGCAACAAGCAGGTGCATTTTCTGGGGGAGGATCCTTCAGTGTCCGTCTAGGGAAGAGTGGAACAGAGGTCACGATGCAGTCACAACTGGAAGGCAACCAGCCAGAATGCCGGAGTCTAATGCATGAACTTTCTAGTTACACATCTAAAAGGTGGAGGAGGGGCGCCTGGTGGCTCAGGCGTTAAGCGTCTGCCTTTGGCTCTGGTCATGATCCCAGAGTCCTGGGATCGAGCCCTGCATCAGGCTCCCTGCTCGGTGGGGAGTCTGCTTCGCCCTCTCCCCGACTTGTGCTCTCTAGCTCTCTCTCTGTATCTCTCCAATAAATAAATAAAATCTTCAAAATAAAAAAAATTAAAAAATAAATAAAAGGCAGAGGAACTTAAATCTCAGGATGGGCTGTTCGTCATTAAGATTGTTACTGGGGCCAACGGTAACTCTTAGATGATCAGAACTATTTAGATTCTGAGTTCAGATCCTAAAAAATGACAGGTGTTACTGGACCAAGTCACTCGCAAAAACACACACACACTAACTTTCTCTAAATGGACTATTGTACTTTTTCCTCAGCAATTTTAACCAGAGTCCCTCTAAAAATCAATAATAACCTAGCTCTTGGTGACAGGCAACAGAAAAGTACATTTATAAAGAGCTCAAGGCTACACTGTTCCTCATAACAAGTTAATATGTAGGAACTATGCTGCATACATGACATTTAAAAACTTACATTAAGCAGCCATACATGGTTCATTTTTACTGTAAAGGCTGATCAAGGAAGATGCCCTGGGTTTGGTAGATTTCTTTGAGGACCAGCAATACTGTATCTTCAGACTCCCTATAAAGAGAAAAACTTAGGTTGTAAAAAGAAGAAACTAACTTTTATACTAGATGTTTTACATATACTATCTCATTTAATCTACACAACCACCTTCAAGTTCATTTTTGCAAAAGTTCATTTTACAGTGGACTATTACTCAGCCATAAAGAAAAATGAAATCTTGCCATTTGCCACAATATGGATGGACCTAGAGGATGCTAAGTGAAGTAAGACAAATGCCATATGATTTCACTTATATGTGGAATCTAAAAAACAAATGAACAAAAACCAGACCTGTATATCCAGAGAACAAATGTGGTTGCCAGAAGGGAGAGGGGTGGGGGGGTGGGTGAAATAAGTGAGGGGGATTAAGAGGTACGAACTTCCAGTTATAAATAAGTCACAGAGATGAAAAGTACAGCACAGGGAATACAGTCGATCATACTGTAATAATGTATGGTGACTACACTTATCATGGCGAGCACTGAGTAATGTAAAGAATTGTCAATTCACTATGCAGTGATTCACCTGAAACTAATATAACATTGTATGTTAACTACAATTTAAAAAAAAAAAAAGTCTAGCATTATGTCTGGTAATACAAAAAAAGTAGGAAACGACCAAGAACTGTTCCCTTTCCACAGAGCTCATTCTTGGAACAATATGGAAGAGCCACCCAGTTGGTCACCTTAATTTTTTAAATGTTATTCACCTTTTTAAAAAGATAATACAATCATATGGTTCAAAATTCAAGATATGAAAGAGTGTAATAATGAAGTTTCCCTTCCACCTCTGTTTCTTAACCACCAGTTCCCATCTTCTGACAATCAATGTTACCAACTTATCATGCATCTTCCAGACATTATTCTGTGTGTGCCCAAGCAATTACTTACATCCAGTTCATAAAGAAATTTGATTATAAACAAAACAACATCATGAAGGACTGCCTTAAGGACATATAGCTCGAATATTTCCCTAAATCCATGGTTTAACATTTTTTGAATCATGTATCTAACTACCTGAGAATCTAATGAAACCAATGGATTTCTCCCCAGAAAAGATTATATATATATATATAATATTATATTATATTTTTAATACTTTAGCATACGAGGAATGTAATTTAAAAAAATATATAAATATTATAAATAAAATTTCATTGGATTCATATGCTTTTTCTATCCCCTAAAAACCCCATACACAGGTTAAGAAATTCCTCCTATGCCAGTGAAGGGGCATTAGCTAAACCAGATGTTAAAATGGTGTGATCCTGGTGCATAAATAAATGGATCAACAGAAAAGAAGAGGAAGTTCAGAAATAGTCCTAAATCTATATAGGAATTTAATAAAGTGAGACTCTCAAACCAGACTCGTAAATACAGAGAACAAACGGTGCTGTGACAAATGGACAGCCATCTGGAAAATGACCTGAACCAATCTATACCTGTTACTAGAATAAATCCAAAGTGAATCAAACATTCACATGTAAAAATGAAACCATAAAATATCAGAATAAACTATGGTAAGGAATTCTTCGGAGGACAAGGAAGATGTAAGTATGACACATATTCTAGAAACCAGAAAGGAAAAATCAACAAATATGAATCAATCTTTTCTACTTAGAAAAACCAATGTTTGCAATGTCAAACTGGGGAAAAGGCATTTGCAACTCATCACAGACAATCAACAACAAAAAACATTTCAATATAAAAGAGAATAAAGAATATAAATAACTCCCAGAAAAGGAAATAAAAATGGTCCTTAAATATATGTCAAGATGCTCAATCTTATTCATAACTGGAGGAATGCAATTTTTTTTAAAATAAAAGGCAAAAGATTGATCTGAAGAGAAAAAGGAGCATACGAGGAATGTAATTTAAAAACTACAGTGTGGGGCACCTGGGTGGCTCAGTCAGCTGGGTGTCTGCTTTCAGCTCAGGTCATGATCCAAGGTCCTGGGATTGAGCCCCACACTGGGCTCCCTGCTTGGCAGGTTGCCTGCTTCTCCCTCTCCCTCTTCTCCTTCCCCCTGCTCACATGTTCATGTGATCTCTCATGAATAAGCAAAATTAAAAAAAAAAAACACTACAGCATGCAAAATACATACAACTGAAAACTACAAAACAGTACTGAGGGAAATTAAAGACCAAAATACACTGAGGGATACTGTTTGTGGCTCAGAAGACTCTATTATTCAGATGTCAATTCTCCCCAAATTGATCTGTAGATAAAATATTTGCGATCACAATCAAAATCTCTGAAAGCTTTTTGGTTGACATTAACAAGCTCAATCTAAAACGTGGAAATGCAAAGAACCGACAATAGCTAAAATAATTTCAAAGAAGAATAAAGTTGGATGACTCACAATACCTGATTTCAAGACTTATTCTGAAGCTACAGTAATCAAGACAGTGTTTTACTGGCATAAAGACAAATCGACCAATGGAACAAAATAGACCCAAGGCAATTCAATGATTTCTCCATCTGAATAAACTTTTCAACAAATGTTGCTACAACAACTAGATAGCCACATGCAAACCAATGAACTTCAATCCTTACCTCACACCATACTAAAAAATTAACCAAAATGGATCACAGACCTAAATATAAAAGCTAAAATGATATAACTTCTAGAATACAGGTAATATTTTAATGGCTTTGGGCTTGGCAAAGATATCTTAAATATGTTAAAAAGGCACAAATGTCAACAAGTTGGACTACATCAAAGTAAAAAACTTTTGCTCTTCAAAACATTCTGCTGGAAAAATGAAAAACTAAATTTTGAGGAAAAAACATGTATCTGAAAAGGACTTGCAACTATAATATAGAAAGAATTCTGGCAACTTAATAAGATAATTTTTTTTTTTAAGAGGCAAAAGATTTGAACAGACAGTTCACCAAAGAAGGTGTATAGATGGCGGGGCGCCTGGGTGGCTCAGCCAGTTAAGTGTCCCACTCTTGGTTTTGGCTCAGGTCATGATCTCAGGGTCATGAGATCGAGCCCTACATCAGGTTCTGTGCTCAGCAGAGTCTCCTTGAGATTATCTCTGTCCTCTCCCTCTGCTCCTCCACCCCTGCCCCCACTTGCACACTAAATAATAAATAAATAAATAAATAAATAAATAAATAAATAAATAAATAAATAAAATCTTAAAAAAACGGGGGGGTGCCCAGGTGGCTCAGCTGGCTAAGCGTCTTACTCCTGGTTTCGGCTCAGGTCGTGATCTCAGGGTCATGAGACCGAGCCCCATGTCGGGCTCAGCGGGTCTGCCTGAGATTCTCTTCCTCTCCGTCTGCCCCTCCCCTGCTCTCTTTCTCCAATAAATCACTCTTTAAGAAAAAAAGGTGGGGGGCCTGGGTCGTTAAGCGCCTGCCTTCAGCTCAGGTCATGATCCCAGGGTCCTGGGATCAAGCCCTGCACTGGGTTCCCTGCTCAGCCAGGAGCCTGCTTCTCCCTCTCCTGCTTCCCCAGCTTGTGTTCCCTCTCCAGCTGTCTCTCTCTCTCTGTCAAATAAATAAATAAAATCTTTAAAAAATAATAATAAATAATAAAAAAAATTTTAAAAAGAATTTATCAAACTCAACACCCAAGGAACAAATAATGCAATCAAGAAATGGGCAGAAGACATGAACAGACATTTCTGCAAAGAAGACATCCAAATGACCAACAGACACATGAAAAAGTGCTCAACATCACTAGCCATCAGGGAAATACAAATCAAAACCTCAATGACAGGGTGCCTGGGTGGCTCAGTTGGTTAAGCGACTGCCTTCAGCTCAGGTCATGATCCTGGAGTCCCGGGATCGAGTCCCACATCGGGCTCCCTGCTCAGCAGGGAGTCTGCTTCTCCCTCTGACCTTTCTCTCTCTCTCATTCTCTCTCTCAAATAAATGAATAAAATCTTTAAAAAAAAAAAAACCACAATGAGATATATAACCTCACACCAGTCATAATGCCTAAAATTAACAAGGTCAGGAAACGACAGATGTTGGCGAGGATGCAGAGAAAGGGGAACCCTCCTACACTGTTGGTGGGAATGCAAGCTGGTGCAGCCATTCTGGAAAACAGTATGGAGGTTCATCAAAAGTTGAAAGTAGAGCTATCCTATGACCCAGCAATTGCACTACTGGGTATTTACCCTAAAGATACAAATGGAGTGGGGTGCCTGGGTGGCTCAGTTGGTTAAGCAGCTGCTTTAGGCTTGGGTCATGATCCTGGGGTCCTGGGATCGAGCCCCGCATCCAGCTCCCTGCTCGGCGCGGAGCCTGCTTCTCCCTCTCCCTCTGCCTGCCACTCTGCCTACTTATGCTATCTCTCTGTCAAATAAATAAATAAATTCTTAAAAAAAAAAAGATAGAAATGTAGTGATCCAAAGGGGTACGTGCAGCACCCCAATGTTTATAGCAGCAATGTCTACAATAGCCAAACTATGGAAAAAGCCCAGATGTCCACTGACAGATGAAAAGATAAAGAAAATGTGGTGTGTGTGTGTATATATATATTTATTTGTATTTATGTATTTTTATATTTTATATATTTATATATACACAATGCAATATTATGCAGCCATCAAAAAAATGAAATCTTGCCATTTACAACAACGTGGATAGAACTAGAGGGTATTATGCTAAGTGAAATAAGTCAATCAGAGAAAGACAATTATCATATGATCTCACTGATATGAGGAATTTAAGAAACAAAGCAGAGGATCATAGGGGAAGAGAGGAAAAAAATGAAACAAGATGAAACCGAGAGGGAGACAAACCACAAGAGACTCTTAATCTCAGGAAACAAACTGAGGGTTGCTGGAGTTTACGGGGGTGGGAGGGATGGGGTGGCTGGGGGGTTGGACGTTGGGGAGGGTGTATCATTTGTGGTGAGCGCTGTGTATTGTGTGGGACTGATGAATCACAGACCTGTAGCCCTGAAACAAATAATACATTATATGTTAATAAAAAAAGTAATCTAAAAATGAAAAAAAATATTTCCACAAAAATATATGGAATGTGGAGAATCATTATATGGAACACCTGAAACTAATATGACACTGTATGTTAACTAAACTTGAATTTTAAAAAATAAAAATTTTAAAAATAAAAAAATAAAAAAATTTTAAAAACTATGCTGGAAAAGCTGTGGGGAAACAGACACTCCCATATATTCCTGGTGGGAGTACAAAAAGGTACAATCTCTATTTGGCAATAATTATCAAATATTACAAATCCATGTATCCTTTATGACAGCAATTCCAATTCTAAGTATTTACAGATACACTCGTGAATAGGTAAAATATAAACAAGGTGTATAAAGAGCAAGAGGACAGAAATCTAAAGTAACCCATCAGTACAGGACTAGTTAAATAAATTATGGTACATTCATACAGTAGAATACTAAAGCTATAAAAGAATGAACTCTTTATATACGACAAGCAAAAAACTCCAAGACTTGCTAGTAGAAAAAGCAAGTTACAGAACAATCCCTATAATATGATACTATCTATACTTGTTAAAGGACAGAAATAATATATTCACACACTCACACCTGTGTTATGTATGCGTAAAAGAGACCTCTAGAAAAAATTTCAAGAAATGCATGTTACTTGCATTTGGAGAGGGTAGTTAGCAGGGAAGAAAATGGAAGAGAGGCTTTCATTATTTGTCTTTCTTTGAATGGTGAACCATATGAATGTACTGCACACTCAGAAATCTCTAAAGAATGCCTTCTCTCTCATTTCTTTTTAAGATTTTATTTATTTATTTGTTAGAGAGCGAGCGACAGAACACAAGCAGGGGGAGTGGCAGGCAGAGGGAGAAGCAGACTCCTCGCTGAGCGGGGAGCCGGAGGCGGGACTCAATCCCAGGACCCTGGGATCATGACCTGAGCCGAAGGCAGGCGCTTAATCAACTGAGCCACCCAGGCGCCCCTAAAGAATGTCTTTTTCACAAGGATGTGGAGAAAGGGGAACCGTCCTGTACTGTTGGTAGGTATGCAAACTGGTGCAGCCACTCTGGAAAACAGTATGGAATTCCTCAAAAAGTTAAAACTAGAACTACCCTAAGATCAAGACCATCTTTGAAGCTGTCCCTGAATTTAGGGCTAAGAGAACACAGCAGCCCAAAAAGCCAGGAATGGAGACCGATCCTGCGGGACGAAGGGGTTCATCATGGCAGATGACCTAAAGCAATTCCTGTATAAAAAATTACCCACTGTCCACAGACCGGTACCTCTGAAACAAATAGTATGTTATATGTTAATAAAAAGAAAATAAAAACCACAATGAAAAAAAAATTGCCCAGTGTTGAAGGGCTCCATGCTATTGTGGGGTCACACAGAACACCTGTTATTAAAGCGGCAATGACAGTGCTCCAGAGCATGCTTTCCGACTTGGTTTCTTATCTACTTTTGCCCTTGCAACAAACCAATGGAGCAAACTTGGACTTTCAAAAAATAAGAGTATCATGTGTTACTGTAATACCTACCACATCATTCAATCCAGTCATTTACCTTTGGTGGTGAGTTTCATAGCCAGCAGTAATGCCGGTACAGGACACATTGTCAGACTAGGAAAGGAACTTGCTCCATCATTTGAAGAACTGAGACAAGTTGTGGAAGTCCCTTAATCTGGCAGCGGTGTTGATGTACACCTTATTTTCATTATAGTAGACACAATATCAATCCAGCAATCTTTAGACCACAAAAATAGTTGTATCCACGTACTACAGAAAGGGCCTCTTTTCCCACTTTATACCAAAGAAAGAGTCTACAGATATAATTTATGGACAGACTGTTATTTTTTCTTGTGTGAGGTCTTTTCTTATTTAGTGAGATCTGGGGATACCACAGAAATGGTTCAATACATCACAGCTCCCATGGAGTTAGTCCAGTCACCAAATATGCACGAGATTCTATTCAGTGGGACAGAATCAAAATGGTACTTTGATCCACTTGAGCCATTAAGTGCTCCCTATTATATAAAACGCCCAGTCCTGCAGAATGAAGCAGACCCTTTTTATTGTGAATGAGGACATATTTTTCTTTATATTATTTCTTTGCATTGAGTGTGAAGAAAAGAAAATGCCTTAGTAAGAGTAATAAAATCAATATAATCACTAAACAACAACAACAAAAAACTACCCTACGATCTAGCGATTGCACTACTAGGTATTTACCCAAAGAATACAAAAACACTAATTCAGGAGCACCTGGGTGGCTCAGTTAAGCACCTGACTTTTGGTTTCTGCTCAGGTCATGACCTCATAGTTGTGAGATCAAGCCCTGTGCCGGTCCAAGCTGGGCATGGAGGCTGCTTACAATTCTTTTTCTCCTTCTGCTTCTCTTCTGCCCCCCCCCACCATTCCCCTCACCCCCATGCACGTTCTCTAAAAAAAAAAGAACCCATTAATTCAAAGGGATACATGTACCCTGATTTTTTTTTAAGATTTATTTATTTGAGAGAGCGAGGAAATATAGGGAGGAGGGGGAGAGGGAGGGAGAGTCTCAAGAAGACTCTGCACTGTGCACAGAACCCAACGTGGGGCTCAATCCCACCACCCCAAGATCACAACTGGAACAAAAACCAAGAACTGGGCACTCAACTGACCACGCGACCCTGGACCCCTGGGCTCCAGTGTTTATAGCAGCATTATCAACAATAGCCAAATTATGGAAACAGCCCATTGCCATTTGCAATGACGTGGATGGAGCTAGAGAGTATTATTATGCCAAGTGAAGTAAGTCAGACAAAGACAAATACTGTATGATTTCACTCATATGTGGAATTTAAGAAATAAAACAAATGAGCAAAAAAAACAGAAAGGAAACCAAGAAACAGACTCTTAACTATAGAGAACAAACTGATGGTTATCAAAGGGGTGGTAGATGAGGGGAGGAGTTACATAGGTGATGGGGATTAAGGAGTGTACTTGTGATGAGCACCAGGTGTGTGGAAGTGCTGAATCACTATATTGTACATCTGAAACTAATATTATGCTGTATGTTAACTAACAGGAATTTAAATAAGAACTTTAAAAAAATGGGGCACCTGGATGGTTCAGTCAGTTAAGCATCTGCCTTCAGCTCAGGTCATGATACCAGGGTCCTGGGATTGAGCCCCAATCCTGGGACTGTCCTGGGATCCAGCCCTGTGTAGGGCTCCCTGCTTAGCAGGGAGTCTGCTTCTCCCTCTCTCTCTGCCCCTCCCCCCAGCTCATGCTCTCCTGCTCTCTCTCTCTAAATGAATAAGTAAAAAAATCTTTAAAAAAACAAAATATAATAAAAACTAAAAAAAAATAAAGAATCATAATTTAAGGGGCACCTGGGTGGCTCACTCGGTTAAGTGTCTGCCTTCAGCTCGGGTCATGATCCCAGGGTCCTGGGATCGAGTCCCGCATCGGGCTCCCTGCTCAGCGAGGAGTCTGCTTCTCCCTCTGCCTGCCGTTCCCCCTGCCTGTGCTCTCTCTCTAACAAATAAATAAATAAAATCTTAAAAAAAAAAAGACCTAAAAGCATGCATTTTTGAATCCTTATCCCCTGCCCATCTTATCTTCCTAACTATATTTTCCTTTAGCTTAAATTTCTTTGGTGATTAAATTCTTTTCTGTTATAATGTATGAATTTCAATAAGCATTATTAATCCATTCTACAATCCATCAGATATTATATTTAATAATGATTAATTCTGTTGAATAAGTTGTGGGGATCCAATGTACAACATGGTACTATAGTTAATAATACTGTATCATATACTTGGAAGTTGCTAAGAGAGTAAGTCTTAAATGTTCTCATCAGACACACACACTCACACACAAGGTAATTATGTGAGGTCATGGAGATGTTAATCATTTCATAATATATACATGTATCAAATCTTGTTGAACATCTTATACAATGTGTCAATTATATCTCAATAAATCTGGAAAAAATATGTAAACATTAAAAATGTAAACATTAAAACAAAATGAAAATAATAAATTCTGATCTAGCTACTGTCAATACTTTCATATGAGTTTAAAATACTTTCAGCAACACTAACATCAATATGTACCCATCCTGTCCCCCATCAATGACCAAAGGACACCACTTTTTAAAACTAAGCTAGCCAGGGGCGCCTGGGTGGCTCAGATGGTTCAGCGTCTGCCTTCGGCTCAGGTCATGATCTCAGAGTCCTGGGATCGAGCCACGTGTCGGGGAGGGGGGGGGTCCCTACTCAGCAGGGAGTCTGCTTCTCCCTCTCCCCCTGCTTGTGTGCTCTCTCTCTCTCTCTCTCTCTTTCTCTCAAATGAATAAATCTTAAAAAATAAAATAAAACTAAGCTAGCTGAACTCATGGTTGCTGGCATCATTAGCCCACGCTCTACCCAACTGCAAAGTAAAACGTGTTTAAACCAGATTTCTTTAAATGACATTATTTTGTTATTTTGTAACTGTCTAAATGAGAAATCACTCTAATCCCAAATGTACACTAGCCTATCCTCCCTTTTCTACATCTATCAAATAGCCGTGCAACAATTAGACCAAAAAAAAACAAAAACAAACAAACCCACCAAGAAACAAAAAACAAACATCACTTACCAGTAGCACAGATGGCTTTGTAAAGCAAATAAATATTCATTAAAACTTTCAATGGGCTTCTCTTGTAGCACGTAGTCAATGCGCTGTCCTCCATTCAGCATTCCCACATTGATGGGTGGGACTTCTTCTTTAACTGCCACAGGGGTCTCTTCTGTGTTAACATCTGGACATAGAAGAACCATAATAACAATCTAAAAGCTTCCAGCCCTCCAAGATTGTCCTTACTTCCCCTCAGACTACCAAGTTTACAGTAGGATGAGGTAATCTCTGCTCAGAAAGCTTTCTGCACCTTTTTCCTCTCAAGCCCCTTAAAGCTTCTCCTCAAGTCACACTGATTTTGTTCAATCCCATTTTTTCTTTCCTCTACCTCTGATAGCTAATTCATTTGCCTCTGGTTTATAAACTAAATATAAGTAGGGATAGAAATCTTTAAGCAGTTGAAAATTAAAGCAAAAAGAATGCAACATTAACTGTGAAATCAAGAGGAGAGTATACTAGCTAGTGCCCAGCTAGGCAAATAAAACTGACCAATGAATACACAGACATTGCCCTATTAAAGCAAGGTGCTTCACAGAAGAGGCTCCTAACACAACTCCAAGAGTGTCCAAGTGAGGGTTGTCTTTTAAAACCTCTTTACCAGGTATTCAGCTTCTCTTGACATTTTTCCTCACAAATAATGTTTTTCCATAATTTGTGACTATTAAATAATAGAAAAGACTAGCAGAGCTGAAGGCCCATTAGGGCTCACTGTATTGGTCCTATACCATGAGTAAGAAATACACACCATGGAGTTACTCTTATCTGACCAAATGTAGGATATCAAAGTGTACAGTATCACTGACCACTCAGCTTCTCTGAACTTGATTCAGATTCTGCTTCAGTTTCTTCTGTAGTTTCTGAAGCCTGTAAGGCAGGGTATGGAGCTCTGGTAAAAGACTTCCAGGCCATCCGCAGTGAACCTAGCAAGTTGTTCTTAAGGTCCATACTCATTCTGGTCAAGCCCTCTCTCAATTCTGAAACATATTTGAATAAAGAACATTACATGGTTTACAAAGGGTTTAGGGTCCAACACAGTTAAAGTGAATGAGGTCCAGTCAGTTTGCAATGACCAGATAGTCTAGAATTACAAGTTCTGTACTCAGATTTACCTAAGTGCATTCGCTTCCTGCCTTTATGATGTGGGATCAGCATTGGCTCAAATTCCACTCCTGGGACCACCATCGGTTCAATCCTATAGGCCACAGGATCAAACTACACAGGAAAAATAATAGCTACAGATACCTCTGCTGAAGAAAGACAGTCTTACAAACTGTGTATCAGGCAAAAATAATTATAAGCTCATAAAAAAACAAAAAAACAGTTGTTTTGCCCCATCACTTTCAGATTCACACTACTATAAATTGTCTCATTACCACAAAATAGTATAGAAAAAAGCAAATCAACACAACAGAAAGTTATATGCTCTTTATCAATAAGCTCTAATATTCAGGTAAAAACACAAGAGCTGTCCAATGCTTACAGGGTGATAGATATTGAAGAAACCTTTGCATGTTGGAAATTTATAGTTGGGATCGATTCTTTTAAGTCCTCGGACAGTAAGGAACATTCCAATGGGAGATCCAAAGGCAAAGAATATTTCTGGTTTGTAGATGAGCCGGGGGTATTTTACAGACACCTGGAAAGAGGATATAAAATACCTCTCACTGGTAACAAAAGTGACATCTGTTCCTACCATACCAATGGCAGGCAATAAAATGACTCAAGAGAATTAATTAGTATTGTTACCTGCCCAATACCAACATCCAGATAGTCACCATTTCCAGTAGCGTCGGTTTTACTGCAGAAGCCTGATTCTTTGGGGATATTAGATATAGTCACCCCTGAAGCTGGCTGCAGGGTTGGTCTATTAATACCCTGAAGAATAAAATAATTCTGTGGAGCTGTTATGTTGTAAAAATATCCAAAGAATTATACAGTTTTTCACTGATTTGAAAGGACACTTAGGAAAGTTTTGAATAATTCTAGGAAGAGTCTCAGAAAACAAGATAAAGCTGATGAAAACAAAAGTTGTCTTAAGTGATGAATTGACATCCCTACATTCTCTAAATCAATGAAAGATGTACAGAGCTATTTGGGCGGCAGTTGAAACTTTAGGCGACCATTGTAAGAGAAACAACAGCAGAGCATCATGAAAAGGAATGCCAAGGGCTGTTAAGGGGTTCAATGAAGCACAATGCCCTTTTAAGGAGTAGAATGTCTCTATGGGTATAGAAAATGATACAGATACCGGGCCAAGAACTGGGCCTTAAATAAGAACTAAGCAATCTGCTTCAAAATTGAAAAATAACTACTAAGATATGGAAAGGAATTTAGTGGCCGAAAAAACTGAATGTAAAAGTACTATTACAACCTAAGTTCATTATTCTAAAGTAAAAGAAGCCAGTCACAAAAAGCCACATACTGTATAATTCCATTCAGAGGAAATGTCCAGAACAACAAAATCCATAACAACAGAAAATAGACCAGTGGTTCACAGGAGGGAGGAATGGGGAGTGACTGCTAATGGGTACGGGATTTCTTTTTAGAATGATGTAAATGTTCTCAAATTAGATAGTGGTAATCATAACACAACTCTGTGAATACACTAAAAACGACTGAATTGTATACTTTAAAAGGGTGAATTTTATGGTATATGATATGAATTATCTTTGAATAAGGCGGTTATGAAACCCCAAAAAAAAATAAAAGGAAAAAAATGGAATGGTGGGAAGACTCCAGGGGAGACAACACTTCTGAAGCTAACAACATTTTTTAATTGATATAATTAAGAAAATGTGTTTGGGGCACCTGGGTGGCTCAGTCGTTAAGCATCTGCCTTTGGCTCAGGTCGTAATCCCAGGGTCCTGGGATCAAGCCCCTCATCGGGCTCCCTGCTCCGTGGGAAGCCTGCTTCTCCCTCTCCCACTCCCCCTGCTTGTGCTCCTGCTCTCGCGCTCTCTCTCTCTCTCTCTCCTTCATATAAATAAATAAAATCTTTAAAAAGAAAGAAAATGTGTTTAATTTCAAAAGGAGAGCCAAAGATCAGTTAACAGAATTGCTTAGCTGCCTAAACACCTCACAAAGCACAAGGATATAAGGATGTCAAAAATCATTTAATCCTACAAGCCATATTAAGCACATACCATTGAATTTTTTCTGGTCCTAAAGTAGTTTAATATCTTCTTTCTTGGTCCTAAGGGAATTCCCATTTCCTGAAGATCTTTGTCAGTACATAAAGCCTAGGCACAGAAAATCAAATATCCTTATTTCTAGGCAAAATAAAATGAATTAAATGTCCTGTTCTCTGAGAGGAATAAGACCTAAGCACTATCATTCTCTGCTTTACATTAATAGGGCTCCCTAGTGGTACAACATCATTAATAATTTTGAGAAGAGTACTTTATTCATAAAACCCTAAAGAAGAATAACAAGTACCAATACTATAGTATCAATGCTACAGTAATACAGATGACATCGTATTATATATATATGTAATATATACCCTACAGAAGTGGGTATCTACCTGCATGACACAAGAACACTCCTTGATTTCCATGCTTAGATGTCACATTCCTGAGAAAGATTATATCCCTAACTCATGAACATAAGCAGTAAGAATATACAGCAAACACTGAGCATGAAACAAACTTAGAACTTACCACAGCTGTAATGAATTATGTTTTATTATTTAATATGTGTCTTCCCCACTAAGCCATAAACATAATGATGTTTATGTTTATATAACATGTTTATGGTTTACATATCTTACTGACCACTCTATCTCTAGTACTTGGTAGAACATGCCTGATCATATAAAGCATTCACTAAATACCTATTAAATGAATGAATGTATTGCAAGCCTGAAAAAAAAGCACAAAAAAGGTGGCAGAAAAACCAAAAACAAATAAATAAGCAAATATCAACAGCAGAGCCCCTGAAGTATAACAGAAAAGAAGCCGGGATAATTAGCAGTCATTTACTCTGACTCTCTTTTCTGAGCTACGTTGTTCTTCAGCCTTTGCTCTATCTCTATATGTTTGTCAATATGGCTTCTCTGAACTCTGCTCTCCAACAAAGCAAAGATCACTTCATAAGACAAAAACACACAGATAATGCTAAAGGACATTACTAATGATAACAGAGTTTTTATGACAAAAGTGCTTCTAAAGGGCAGGCTCTTAATCAGCTGTAAGATGAAGATAAGCGTAAAAATACTAAAAATGGTATAGCATAAAGTTTTAAAAGATTATTTTTACCAGAGCTTCCTTATCTACTTTCTCCTTCTCAAAGGTATTAAAGAATTCAGAGAGTTGAAGTTTCTTCAAACCTTCCTCTAGAGTCAGTGTGTCTCCTTCATCCACAATATTTGGTGCATCCTAAAAATTAAATTGTAAAGCTCATATTCTCTAAATTCATTTAGATTGTCCTGTATTAGTACTACTAGCAATAAAAATAATGTACTACATAAGAGTTCTATATAGATATACTTAGTTTAAATAAATTGTAATTTATACAAAATTTAAATTAAGTAGTTAAACTCTAAGTGTTGCAACTTTAGTTGAAACAATGTTTTTAAATAAATGATTATCAAGGTGTTTCTTCATCTTTGTTAACAAAACATTTATTGAGTTCTTATTATGTAAAGAGTGTTTAAGACATAAAACAATCTAAAATAAAGCCCCTGTCCAGGAAGAACTCACAAAAAAAGTCTAAAATCTAAAAATCTGTCCTAAGAAATGGTACAAGAGAAGTATATCTGTATATCTAAATTACCTTTTCACTGTCCATATCCCCCAAAGATTCTTTCTGATTTGTTAGTATATCAAACAATATAAGCGAACCTAAAATAGAAGAAAGGACAATTTCTAAGTATTGGCACTACATAGCTTTTATACAAAAAGTATTACGCCAAATGTAGCAAAACCTATGAAGCAGGAAGTCTTTCTTTCCAATCCACCACCGCCCTTCCAACCGCTTCCAAATTCTTCATCACAGACCAGTTCTAGACCTCTAAATCTGATATGGATAAAAGACATAGTACTTCAAAAACAGGTGTCCTTAATATGTGATAGTGCTCTCTGGTCACAGAGAATTAATTTGTTACCTAAGCTATGACCGGCAATGGATACACCCCCTTTGAAATCAGGGTTCCTCTGAAGAAAAAGTGTATATATTCGGTTCATTTCAGAAGCAACTGTGTCCACTATAGTCTGACAGTAGGTGGGGCTATTGTAGAAGAAGACGTCCAGAATTGTGTCATTGGTGAAGTGCCTTAGGCGGTTAATGCTGGGCAGAGTTATTCGCTGCAGATCTCTGACAAAAAAAAAAAAAGGTTTTTTAAGCAGAAAACCTAATACATTCCATAACTTCCTCTAAGTTATTACCCAGCTTACCCTTCAAGCTTAGACTTAGATATTTAAAGATACAAGAGACAAGTATCTATTAATAAGAAGTACAAAGGACTCAGAGACATGTTTAATTAAGTCAAAACGATGTGATCAGCAAGTCAGTGAGAATTTCTACAAGACAAATACCAGTTTCTTCAATACATAAATTGCAAGGAAATAAGAGATGGAAAGGTAATCAAGAGATTAAAAGAGACTTAAAAGATGTATCAACAAGGGGCTCCTGGATGGCTCAGTCAGTTAAAAGCGTCTGCCTTAAGCGAGGTCATGACCCCAGGGTCCTGGGATCGAGCCCCGTGTCGGGCTCCCTGCTCAGTGGGGAGTCTCCTTCTTCCTCTACCTCCTTCTCCCTCTGCTTGTGCTCAATCTCTCTCTCTCTGTCAAATAAATAAAATCTTTAACCTAAATAAAGTGTGTGTGTGTGTGTGTGTGTGTGTGTGTGTATAAACTACAACATTTACTAAGACAATTGGAAATTTGAACACTGTATATTTGCTGATATTAAGAATTTCTTTAGGGGCGCCTCAGTGCTCAGCAGGCAGTCTGCTTGTCCCCTTTCCTTCTGTCCCTCCCCCTGCTCGTGCAAGCTCTCTCTCTCAAATAAATAATCTTTAAAAAAAAAAAAGTTTTTTTAGGTGTGATAATGGTGTTATGGTTAATATATTTTAAAAAGTTCTTTCCAATATACAAACAAACATTTATAGATGAAATGATACAATATCTTAGGATCTGGTTCAAAAATAATATGGTGGCAGGATGGACAGTAGACAGAGGTTGAAATATAATGGATAGAGCAGAACTGGCCATGTGTTGAGGCTTGTTTGCCCTGAGTAATCATAATCTGTACATGAAGATTCATTATATAAGCTATTTTTTTTTACAAAATTCTCTATAATAAAGGATTTTTTTTAAAGATTTTATTTATTTATTTAATTGACAGGGAGAGAGAGAGAGACAGCATAAGAGGGAACACAAGCAGGGGGAGTGGGAGAGGGAGAAGCAGGCTTCCCGCTGAGCAGGGAGCCCAATGTGGGGCTCGATCCCAGGACCCTGGGATCACGACCTGAGCTAAAGGCAGTAGCTTAACCAAGTGAGCCACCCAGGTGCCCCATATAATAAAGGATTTTTAAAGACAGAAAATACAAGATGATTTTTCTAGAATTCTCAGCATTAAGGTTTTTTGATCACAAGTCAGCTGATAAATGGATCTGCTCCCTCTCTCAATGCAGAATTTCTGAAAGCTGAAAGAGAGACTGCCAGATGCCAAAGGCAAACAGAACTCATATCTCAAAAAGGAAAACCATGCTGACATTATCCAAATCAACTTCCAGTTAAAGCTTTCTCAAAATACCCAGAAAGAGTCCTCAAAGATTCAACAGCTTCTGTAGTTTAGAGGGCAATTTGCCTTAGGAACCTCTTAGCATCAGCTCAAACATGAAGAATGTGAACTCCTTAACTAGCAACACAATACAACATCTGGCACATGGAATATGCTCAAATCATACAGTATTAAGAACTGAGAGACAAAGAATCAGAAAAGTCATTTTCAAGACCAACACGGAAATAATACTATTTCCTCCAGAAAAGCATTTGCCATTCTACCCTAGAACTATATTATGAACACACTTCTTTCTGGAGAGCCTATAGCTCTCCAAAATATCCTTAACATAAGGCAATCTTCTCTGACATTACCATAAAACCTACAAACAAAACTGGGTTTGTAACTTAAGAAAGCCATCACTTAAAAGTTATACGAATTATACCTCTAGTTATAAATGCTAATAATTTAATGTTTGGGGATTTCCTTTTTTTTTCCCAACATGGACAAGTATTATCTAAATATGATCACAAAAGGAACAACAAAATACTTTGTACATCCTGAGTTAGGCTGGCTTTGACATCTAAAGACAGAAATGCTTATACACTATAGGAAGAAAGCAATGTTTGGTTTTAGCATGTAGATACTACTGAGCTAATAAAACATACTAGAAGATACACACAGTTCTTTACTCCTAATCAGGCTAGTTAAACCAAGGGATTGGTCAGCATTTAATGATGTATCTCTAAGAAAAGACATAGAAGTATAAAAAACTTCTCATTGAACAAATTTTTATATAATCAGCTATAGCACAAACATCCCAACCATATCAATGATCAGAAAACGCATTACAATCTTAGTTAACAACCAAAGACATAAGGTATTACTCACATATCCACACCAGTAGAATGCAAAGGACTATGCCAGTTGACTGGAAGAAATTCTACCCTCCCAATCTGCTGATTTTCTTGGGCTTTCTTAAAATGTGTCTGTAGCAGGTTCAAGGAAACACTGCGAAAATCGTTAACTGGAAAAGAAATTAACTTATGCATCACCAGGGAAGCAATGAATTCACAGAATAAGGATGCAATAGATAATGTAATTATACTCTCTCCATTGGCTTAGAACACATATTTACTTGAGTCAAAAACGGCAAACAGTAGTGTTCAGAAAATATTATCAGTGCACAAAAGCTGTTCCCTTACCACAGAACTTTATTATAAAAAACATTTTCTCTAAAGAGAAGCTAACTTCAAAACTGTGTCATGGGAACGATTTCAATTTTTTAAAAAAGGAAAAAATTACATGACTGTGTCAATTGGCCTCACAGTTAGATTCCTAACTAACTTTCTGGTTCTTATAAACAACCAGTAACCAATATTTTATATTATAAAAAAAAAAAAACAACTGCTATTTGAAATTCATACTACATCAGTCTCTTAACCTTCCAGAAGGTTTACGCTTAGAAGCATTACCCACTAGGAGAAGATTCCCAAGTTGGTACATACTCTAAATATGTACAATTAAGTTTTAGAGGACATTACCTTTCAAAATCAAGTTATACTAATGACCTAAATATTCTAAATAGAATATCAAGAGCTTTACCACACTAGTGAATTACAAAAATGATTGTTGGTTCTGTTATTTTTTTTTTTTTAAGATTTTATTTATTTGACAGAGACAGAGATAGCAAGAGCAGGAACACAAGCAGCGGGAGTGGGAGAGGGAGAGGCAGGCCTCCCCTCGAGCAGGGAGCCCAATGCGGGGCTCGATCCCAGGACCCTGGGATCATGACCTGAGCCGAAGGCAGATGCCCAACGACTGAGCCACCCAGGCGCCCCCTGTTATTCATTTAAACTATATCATCGGGGCGCCTGGGTGGCTCAGTCATTAAGCGTCTACCTTCGGCTCAGGTCATGATCCCAGGGTCCTGGGATAGAGCCCCACATCGGGCTCCCAGCTCAGCGGGAAGCCTGCTTCTCCCTCTCCCACTCCCCCTGCTTGTGTTCCCTCTCTCGCACTCTCTCTCTCTCTCCGTCAAATAAATAAATAAAATCTTTAAAAAAATAAAAAGTAAACGATATCATCTTTTTGGTTCCCTTTAAATTTGGAATGGTTAGAAAGAGGACCATCAGGGCGCCTGGGTGGCTCAGATGGTTAAGCATCTGCCTTCGGCTCAGGTCATGATCCCAGGGTCCTGGGATCGAGTCCCACATCGGGCTCCCTGCTCCTTGGGAGCCTGCTTCTTCCTCTGCTTCTCTCTCTCTCTCTCCCTCTCTTTCTCCCTCTGTCTCTCATGAATAAATAAATAAAATATTTTTAAAAAAAAGAATTAAAAAAAAAGAAAGAGGACCATCACATTCATAAAACAATTTTATGAGGATTAAGGGCTTGTTCATTCAAGAATTATTAGTTAAGAGTATAAACTATTAGCCTAAGGAATTTACTAGTACTTTAGGTCTAAGTTAAGAAGCTTTACTACCTTGCCACCTGTCTTTATCTCTCCAAATCTTATTATGCAGGTAAGACAAAAGACTAAATAAAAACAACAGCTTACAGGAGCACTAATATTCCCCTTAAATGATTTAATCTTACATGCTTTGCAAACCTACCACACTGTACAATGCTTCGAAAGCGGAGATCACAAGCTGGTCCAATCCCATGGACTACAAAAACCAAGTGATCTATTTGTAAAGGTTCTCCTGTAAATGAAATTAAAAAGAAAAATTATTTCATATAACTAGTCTTATATTCTGTTTATAGTCAAATATTCACAAAGAATAGGCTATAAAGATGGTAAATTAAAATATAAGGTCATTTTCTTTAAGAATTTATTTATTTATTTGAGAAGTGAGGAGAAGGGCAGAGGGAGAGGGACAAGCAGACTCTACACTCAGCAGAGGCTCAATCCCACAACCCTGAGATCATGACCTGAGCCAAAATCAAGAGTCGGTCCCTTGGGCACCTGGGTGGCTCAGTCATTAAACGTCTGCCTTCGGCTCAGGTCTTTAAAAAAAAAAGTCAGTCTCTTAACCGACTAAGCCACTCAGACTCCCTAAGCAGATCATTTATTTATTTATTTTAAAGATTTTATTTATTTATTTGACAGAGAGAGAGAAAGCGAGAGAGGGAACACAAGCAGGGGGAGTGGGGGAGGGAGAAGCAGGCTTCCCGCCGAGCAGGGAGCCCGATGCGGGGCTAGATCCCAGGACTCTGAGATCATGACCTGAGCCTAAGGCAGACGCTTAACGACTGAGCCACCCGAGTGCCCCCAAGCAGATCATTTAAAGGACACAAAACAGTCCTATATTTTACTTAGTAAAAATACAGTGATTTTACTGTGTTTCTAATTTATCTTGACATAAATCTGTAAAAAAATTTTTTAAGGCTTTAAACTTTTTATTTTGAAATAACTGCAATCTTACAGAAAACATGAAAGAATAGTATAGACACTCCCACATACTTTTTATAGATTCAAAACTTTAACCTGAGATTTGCTTTATTATTCTCTATGTGTATGTGTTTATACACATTTATTTTTCTGAACCATTTGGAAGCAGGTTGCATATATTATCAGACTGTACACATCATACCTCTTTAAATACTTAACCCTTTAAATACTTTAATACATATTTCCTAAGAATATTTTCTTAAATAACCAGTTATCGGGCGCCTGGGTGGCTCAGTTGGTTAAGCAACTGCCTTTGGCTCAGGTCATGATCCTGGAGTCCCAGGATTGAGTCCCGCATCGGGCTCCCTGCTCAGCGGGGAGTCTGCTTCTCCCTCTGACCCTCCCCCCTCTCATGCTCTCTATCTCATTCCCTCTCTCAAATAAATAAAATCTAAAAAAAAAAGGTTTTAAATAACCACAGTTATCAAATTCAGGCAACATAACATTGGTAGGATACTTTTATCTAATATTCCATTTTTATCAATTATACCAATAATGTATGGTGTGTATATAAACCCTAAATTTTTAAACTCACCTTTTTAGTTTTTATTTTTTTTAAGTTTTTCTTTATTTAAGTAATCTCTACACCCAACATGGGGCTCGAACTTACAACCCTGAGATCAAGAGTCATATACTCCTCTGACTGAGCCAGCCAGGTGTCCCCAAACTCATCTTTTTAAATTATAGTAAGTCTAAGACAAGCCATCTCCTCTCAGAGATAAAAGGAATTTTATAATCCAGTTAAATATATTATAAAACCAACCATAAATGGCCCTAGCTAGATAGCAATGGATAACCATCAAAGTTCTACTGAAGAAGTTTTCCTTAGTTCACGATCTTCAAGAACAGGAGTTACCAGAAATTAATTTTTAATCAAACAGGTGGAATCACACTTCTTAAAATTAGAACTACATCAGTTCATTTGTACCAAGTGACTTCTTGATTAGTACTGCCAAATTTTACCTATTCCACAATATATATACTTAGCAACCTTAAAACAGATTTTTATATCTATTAAGATTCTTAGTGGGGCACCTGGGTGGTGCAATCGACTAAGTTTCAGCTCAGGTTGTGATCTCAGGGTCATGAGATGGAGCCCCACCTCCAGCTCCACACTCAGCGCAGAGTCTGCTTGAGATCTCTCTCCCTCTCCCTCTGTCCCTCCCGCTTGCGTGCTCTCTCTAAAATCAATCAATAAAAAAAAAAGATTCTTAGTAGATGAAATGATGCTAATCTTAACTCATAAGCCCATATGACTAAATCATTTTTAAGCCTTGAGGTAATCCAAAACCATAGAAAAAGGTCATAATTTAAGTCATAAATAAGTACATCAGAAGAAAAAATAAACAACATTACCACAATGAATGTCAACAGAGATGTTCTCAACCCCTCTCTTCACTGTTCTTGGTCGACCCTGTTCAGTGGGTGTTGAACCCCATTCATCAGACCCTGCAACTGGCTGGTAATGCACCATAAGCTTAAATAGAAAAGATGAGAGCAATAAATATATTCTACATTATAGACATCTCTATTTATACACTCTGAGGGACAGGAACATGTCTTTCAAAACAGAATATATAGTCAGATCTCAAGTGGAATTTTGATATGCAACTCTGATGGCTTGAAATGAAAACCCTGAAAATACAGTAGGCCAATGTTGTACATGTTACATACCTTACGATTTTGTCAATTATACCTCAATAAAGCCAAAAAAAAAATCACGCTAACATCTTTCAATAATACCCTACACATGTAAAATATAAAATATGCCCACATAATGGGTCAGTGATATTCTTAATGTACAGTGGCATAATTTTCTCTAAGCAAATTCTTTTGTATAAGGTGAAGGAGGTAAAAAATAGTGGCAGTGGCTACAAGTTTCATAATTGTGAATGCAATGTAAAAATTTCCAAAGGGTACCCTAAACAGAATCCCCATGAAAAAGAAACCAATTAAGTTCCCCTTAGGAATGCAATTAACCCTTAATCCCACATGAAAGGCTTAATTTGCTTTACCTTTGGATTGTGTAATATAATAATTTCTCTGTTGGGAGACTCCAGTTTCTTTTTCCACTCATCCAGAGTTACAGCAAGCTTGTACGTTTCCTTAAGAGAAAACACATTTCTTTAGATTTCTCTAATAGCTTTTCTATTAAAACTTAACTTTTTTTTACAAGAATACTGCTACATAAACAATTACATAAGAATATCCGACTCCTATTTATCAAATATTTGAAAATGCTTTTAAAATTACAACAGATAACAGTAAGTCACTCCTACTTTTATCATCTAGACTAGATAAAATCACTGTTCACATTTGATATACTTCTTTCAATAGTATTAATGTCTACTCCAATTTAAAGAAACCAAATTTCAGACTGTTTCCAGAGCCAGAAAAATAAAAGGCTGAAAAGACCAATCCTGTGGTCATAATTTAAATATTATTAACAATGATCACCTTCAGGGAAAAAATTTTAACTTAAAGGCGTAACAGTTTACATAGTAATTTAAAATCTGAAAAGAAAACTACTTTATCTTGAAACTAACTTGCAAAAGAAATGCTATACATGTGATCCAGACAGAACCAAACTCTTTCTAGAAATTTCACAAAAATAAGTCACAAGAAAAGATTATTAAATAAGAGAAGAAAAAAATGAAAATAAGTGAAAAGGGGTCAAAGAAATACCTCTAATACTTGGCTGAAGCTCTCTGAGTAGGGAACATACTTATTATCTTTGTCTCCCTTGTAAAACCAGGTACATCGTCTCACTTCCGATGCTAGCTCATCCCAGTATACAGCATACCGCATCCTCTCCCCCAAATGCACATCATATCTGCCCCCATCAGTGGGGACAACTCTCCCATTACAATCTTTTCCTATCAAGGATTGGAAAGGGGGAAAGAAGTACATATATAAAAATAAATCTCCCAAAATACAATTCTGAGTTATACTCTAAATAGTGTTATGAGACATAAGAATGAACATTTTCTACTTGGCTAAACATTAAGCAAAACGGAATTGCATTTTTTCACTACTTCCCAAGCCATCAAAACCATTCTTGGTTTTAATGATACATGAAAAAGATAATACCCCTACACTGTTTTGTTCTTTTTCTGAGAGACAGTCATGTCCCATTAAAGAAACAAAAGTATATAAGGGTTTTCTGAATTTTTCGCTTGAGGAGCCAAAAAGTAAATTAACAACCATGACCATCATGATGATAAAACAGTTACCAGTGTCATTCTTCTTTCATAAAGGAAGAAAAAACAAGTGACAAGTTAAAGAATTCATTCTTTTGCAATGTGACATGCCCCCATTCTTCATAAACAAAAACTGAAACATATGCTGGAACATAAGAAATATTATTAAAGGGCGTCTGGGTGGCTCAGTTGGTTAAGCAATTGCCTTTAGCTCAGGTCATGATCCTGGAGTCCTGGGATCAAGTTCCGCATCGGGCTCCCTGCTTATCAGGGAGTCTGCTTCTCCCTTTGACCCTCCCCCCCCACCCTCTCATGTGCTCTCTCTCTCTCTCTCTTTCTCTATCAAATAAATAAAATCTTTAAAAAAAAGAAATATTAGATAACTCCGCAGAAATTACAATAAGTACTATTTTCAAATACAGACCAAATTCTTAAATATTATAAATTGACTGGTTAGTAGTGCAAAACTTCTATTTCTATATAAAAATGCTACAGAAGAGAGAACTGCAAAAAAATATGCTACAGAGAGAACTAGAAAAAAATCTAATATTTTTAATAGCATTCAATATAAGAACTATTATATTAGACTGAGAGAAATAGTCTTAATCTATTAAAAGTCATCATTTTCATCCTACCAGAACCATATGCCTCTTCTAGCTGCTGTGAATCCTCAGAGTTGAAAGGAATCCATGTCTCCTTAGAATCTATTATTTTACAATAAAACCAATGAGGAGAAACTGGCTCATACAAACTGCCAGCATCCATGTCTAGTAGTTCAAAGGAACTACATGAGTTTGGTGACGGGGATGGATCTGACTGGGACAATTGTTGCTGGTGTGATTCCACTGATGACATTTCGCTCTCTAAAAGACAAGATATAAGAAAACTATCGGGAAAAATCATTTTTCTTCTATTAACAGTGACATTTCTCTCTCTCTCTCTCTCTCTCACACACACACACACACACACACACACAACTAGTCATTTTAAGGTGCCATTTCTGGAAAAAAAAATCTCAAGAAATAATGTATAAATTAACAGCTGGATTTGAGGGGAAGCTTTAAACAGAATGCTTCTTATAGTCAGACCAACCACTTTACACTGATTTCCCAATTTCCCAATTCTTTCAGAAAACTGCATGGCTTTTAAACAGACAAACCAAAGGGGCGCCTGGGTGGCTCTGTCAGTTAAGCATCTGCCTTTGGCTCAGGCTCAGGTCATGATCTCAGGGTCCTGGAATGGCTTCGGGCTCCCCGCTCTGTGGGGAGTCTGCTTCTCCCTCTCCCTCTGCTCCTCCCCCTGCTCCTGCTCTCGCTCACTCTCTCTCTCTCAAATAAATACAATTTTAAAAATAATAACTTTAAAAAAAGTTTCAGAAGAAGAAGAATCAGAAGAAACACATGGTTAAAAACTTGATTGCAACAAAACATCCTACCCCAATTTCCATCTAAGTCTATTGCTAAAGGCAAAAAATTTACTCAAACTGTCTTACCTAGATTTTAGGTTCCAGGCCCCTATCATTACACACTTACGTGATCATTGGAATCTTAAAATATTGAAAGTAAAACTATTCACTTAAGAACCTGTCACCTTTTTTTTTTTTAAGGTTTTTTTATTTCACAGAGAGAGACACAGCGAGAGAGGGAACACAAGCAGGGGAGTGGGAGAGGGAGAAGCAGGCTTCCCGCCGAGCAGGGAGCCCGATGCGGGGCTCGATCCCAGGACCCTGGTATCATGACCTGAGTTACCCAGGCGCCCGAAGAACCTGTCACCTTTTATTGATCCTTGAAGTGTACTTACTTAGCGACTAGGGAACGAATTCTGAAAACACGAACCCTAGTTTGAGCCACTGTGCGCACGCGCGCACCCACTCACACCATCCAGGTCTCAGGAGAAAAGTAACAAGTGACCTCAAAAGCCTCCTTCTCTTAAAGACGACTCTGACCTATATGGTCCTGCCCCTCCAACACTCAGACCACTTGGCAAGGAACACTGCACACACCGAAGTGTACTCAACCTGAGGGGAGTGAGCATTGTTGGTATCTCAGCACCGAGCGCAGCCGGATGGCAAACACCTGGCCTCCTCTGAGCGAACGCTCGCCTGGCTTTCGGCCACTTTATCCTAGCACCAATTTACCTCCGCCACCTTGGCGCGTCCCTCTCCCCCACGACCCTGGGCCTCCTGCAGCCCAGATCTGGGACCTCAGAGCTCGGGGACTTGCATCCTCCCGCTTCCAGCCCTGCAGAGAGGAGCGGAGCCACCGATGGAACAAGGTAATTTCCCGGTGCCTTAGAGCGCAGTCCGTACAAAGGGAAGCCTGGCCGCTTCACCCGGACCGAGGTCACCCCCCACCCCGGGGTGGTTCTCCCAACACCTCCCTTCTCTGCCTCAGGCATCGCGTCCTCCTCCGCCCCCGGCATCCCCATCCCGCAGTGCCTCCAACCCGCAGCCCAGCGGGGCCTCCCTCCGCCCAGCCGCCCACCCCAACACGCCATCACGGACTCACCTGACAGCTCCGCTGCCTCTCACACACTCCTGCCCTCGCTGAGGGGGGCACGACATGTCCCCGCGGCGGCCTTTCCCCCGAGCGCAGGCGGGGCGGGGCGCAGCAGGGCGGAGCCTGTGGCCCCGCCGGGCTCGTGCCCAACACTGGGCTCCACTGCGCTCCCAGCGGGCGAGCAGCGGGTCCGGCTACTGAGAGCAAAGGTGAGGTAGCGAGGACCGCGGCGTGGAAGCGATGGGTGGGGCAAGGAGGGCCGCAGGAGACTGGCAGGAAGTGTCGCGAGAGGTGGGAGGAATCGCGCGAGATGTGGCTCCTTCCTGCGGGCAGGGAGCCGAAGCGCTGGGCGTGCGGGCGGTGCGTGGGGCGTGCCCTCCGCTCTGAGCCGGCGTGCGGAATCTCCGTCTCAGGTCGGAGGTCTTTGAAAGGTAGGGTTGGGGGTAAGACATTATAGGTGTAAGGGAGCATTTTGAGTTTCAGTGAAAGAAAGCTTCTTCAGAATTAACCAGCCCTGCCTCCTCACTTGGTAGACTAGATGGGAAAAGAGGCGCGCTGACCCTGGTACTACTCTAACTGTACTAAAGGGCCAGGAAAGATGCGGAGAACCCGAGGGAGACGCAGATGCCACGCCGCTAGTGAGCCAATTGGACTATACGGCGCTAGCTAGCAGCAGCTTCCACTTCTGGGTGTGGAGGAAAATGGATACTATTGGCACTTGCAAAGAAGAAAGTTTATCTCGGGCGCCTGGGTGGCTCAGTTGGTTAAGTGACTGCCTTCGGCTCAGGTCATGATCCTGGAGTCTCGGGATCGAGTCCCACATCGGACTACCCGCTCAACGGGGAGTCTGCTTCTCCCTCTGACCCGGACCTCTCATTCTCTCTCTCTCTCAAATAAATAAAATCTTTAAAAAAAAAAAAAATAAAGTTTATCTCTGGGGCTTTGCCCCCCTCCCCCTTACATTTCTTAGCATTTCGAGGCTGCCAAAAAGATACGTGTAAAAAAATGTAGAGGTGAGCTTCACCAGATTTAAAAGCTGCACGAGGTTGGAAACGAGATATTTTTGTCCAAACACGACGATATAATTGAGGTGAAAAGTTTAAATGAATTTCTCACAGTCATGAAGCCAATAGCCCTGCCCTGCTCTCCTGAGTATTTAGTTTTCTGGAAGACCTCAGCTCCTTTGAGTATTCAGTAAGATGCTTGCCTATTTTCTAACTAGTTTATAGGGCAAGGATTCAGGGAAGTTTTTCAGTTTTGTTATTTCTTCAGAAACCGAGAAAAAAGAATTTTTATAACACATGAATTCTCTTACAGGTTAACAGCCACACACAAATATCCACAAGTTTACTTATATGTTCTGAAACTTACAACACCTAAAAAGCTTCCGCTTCCCAGGGAGAGGGTAAGGAATGCCAGAGTTGTCCCATTCTCTAGACTCTTGTCAGATGACTAGCTAATATCATAGACTAATAGGAGCTAGCATTTACTGAGCTCTTACTACTTCTAGGTAGGCAAGTGTAATCCCATTTAGTCCTCACCACAACTTGAAGTAGACTATAGTTCTATTTGCAAAGGTAAAATGACTTAACCAAAGTCATACTATCAGCAAGTGATGGACCCAAAATAGCAAACACAGTGTCTGTCTTCAGAGCCTGCACGTTAAGTAACTTACTTAAAGACAAAACCAGACCTTGAATTTAGGTCCTCTATCTCCAAATCTCTGTATCCGTAACAGCTGTTCTCAACTTTTTTGGCCTCAGGAACCCTTTACACTATAATTAAGGACCCTAAAGTGTATTATGTAGGTTATATCTATTACTGTTTGCTAGAAATTAAAACAAATTTAAATGTTTACTAATTCATTTAAAATAACATTAAAAACCCGTTTCTTATAAATAAATTTTTAACGGAAAAATAACTATTTTCCAAAATGAAAAAATCAGGGGAAAGAATGACATTGCTTTACATTTTTGTAAATTTCTTTAATGTCTGGTTTAGTAGAAAATTGTTAGATTCTCATAGTTACTTCTGCATTCAAACTGTTACAACTTTAGTTTTGGTTGAAGTATATGAAGAAAACTCAGCTTCCCTCAACTATGTCGTTGGAGAAAAGTATTTTAACAGCCTCTTCAGATAAAATTCAACAAATGGTGGCTTCTTAAAGGTTAGTTGCAATATGGAACCTGAAAACATATCAGTGAAGATTTTGTACTCTGATACATTAAAATCCATTGGTCTATCTTGCACTTTGAATGGCTTTTACCTATACATGATTTATGACATCAAACATTGGTTATTTGGAAAATATCAGTTCACAGTGCTATTCAGTCTTCCAAATGTTAACACATTTCATTATACAATATATATTTTTTTAATTCCCACCGGTCTCATTGGAAGAGCCTTTAAGTATTGGGAAGCTGTCAAGCTCTTAGTAAATAAAAGTTCTCTAAAGTCTGCTTTTTTCTTAAAGGGTCACATTTTATCATTGGCAACAAATACTGTCAGTTGTTTTCCTTGAAGTAAAAAGCTCACTTTGTTTTCGAGAGGCTCTGTCAAATAGCTAAATCTGACTAGTCCTAGTTCTCTGTTGTACATTTAAGTAAAAATGATGATCCATGAAAACAAGAGTAGCTAGTGCAGTTACCAATTCAAATCACCTGTTAAGTGCTTTTTCCTCAACAGACCAGCATACTTCAGGATGCAGAACTGTTTTAGGCATACTATTTTGTCACACAGAATATGAAAAAGGTGTGAATGCGAGGGTTAATATTTAATAAAATTAATAATTTTTACTTCATGAACAGTATTCTTAAGTGAAATGGGCACTATTTTTATTAGGAACGCATGGCAGTGCACAATACAATGACTGACAGTACAATTTATTTCCACTGCCTTAATTCTTGCTAAGGCGCCAACAGTTTTACCCACCATTGCTTTTGCATCAACAGTGCAAATGTCAGAAACACAGCAAAAAAAAAAGCAAATCATGTCTTAGTATTAATAGTTTTGATCTGGTGATCCCTGAAAGGACCCCAGCATGCGTGGACTACCCTTTGAGAACTACAGCAATTAAATGTGCCCACCCTGCAGCTTGGAATATAAAAGTAATGAATAACACAATACCTACCCTGAAGGAGTTCAGTCTTAAGAGACAAGCAGGTAAACAAATATATCTTGAGTGTCATAACAGATACAGGAGCCAGATACATTGATAGTTACAAAAGAGGGAGTTATCAGAGGTCCAAGCATACCCCCCAGAAATTCTCATTCAGGTTTTTGGTGGGATTCAGGAATCTGCATTTTAAACAAGCACTCCAGATGATTTAGAGGCAGATAGTATGGGACCTACTTGAGATCTCTGAGAAACACTGCCCTAAGCAGTATAAATTTTAGGTTCCCAAAAAGGCTCAGTAGGTAGGTAGGTAGATTCAGAAAAAGAATATTTTATGGTATATCGCTCAAAAAAAATCCCACTTAATTTTCACTGGCTGTTGTTAACAGTTGTACATCAGATCTTTTACCAGAAGAAAAAAAAAACCTTAAAAAGGCAAAATCTGAAACAAATTACCTTTTTCCTTCTAGTGGAGGGGGCAGCAAACTTTTTTCTGTAAAGGGCCAGATAACTGTTTCAGGCTTTCTGGGCCATAAGTTTTCTGTCACAACTAATCAGGTCTCCCACTGTACCACAAAAGCTGCCAGAGACAATAGGTAAAGTGATGTGTGGCTGCGCCCCAACAAAACTTTGTTTACAAAAGCAGGCAGTGGGTTACATTTGGTCTCTGGTGCTAGGCAGTCTGCTGACTCCATGCTCTAAGACTAAAGATAATGCTAATTGCCTGTAAGTTGCCCAAAAAGCAAAAGCAGGAGCCTAAGGTCATAAAACAACTGGATTTCATATCCAAAGTAGGAAAAATTGTGAGGCATCAATTTTGAATTCCCATTTCTTTCCAAAATAAACCATATTTCAGTATTCAAAATGTATGTGTTGAGTGCCTATCAAGGCATTAGGCATAAGGATATATAGTTTTTGGAGGCAGGAGTCCCCAATCCCTGGTGGACAGCTAAGCATCCCAAGTTGAGAACATTCCACAGTTGTCTTGGCTGCTCTGACTATAAAATAACAATAGGACTTCAGGCTGTGATGGTGATTCTCAAACTTCAATAAATAGAAGAATATGCTAAGTAGATTATTTTTATTTTATTTTATTATTTTATTTTATTTGACAGCACAAGCAGGGGGAGTGGCAGGGGGAGTGGCACGCAGGGGGAGAAGCAACTCAGCAGGGAGCCCAATTGCGGGGCTCAATCCCAGGACCCTGGGATCATGACCTGAGCCAAAGGCAGACGCTTAACCGACTGAGCCACCCAGGTGCCCCGCTAAGTAAATTCTTTAAAATGTAGATTTTTAGATCCAACAGCCAGAGATTCTGATTAACTACAAGAGTTTAATCAGAGGGGTCATGAATCTACATTTTAATCTAGAATATACAGGCTACCGCTATGAGGCAAGGTGCTTAAATTGAGAAACAGAAGACCTGAGCTATAATTTTGGCTATACCACTAACTTTGTTTATAAAATAAGAATGCTAGAACTAGAAGAAACCTTAGTGATTAATAGTGTGATGTTCTCCAACCCAAAGTTGGAGATTTCTCTTAAGTCCATAAATCATTCATGAAAATGCATTGTATTACTTTATAGCCACAATTGAATAGTTCCTGCCCTCAGTTTTAATAATCTTAGAATGTTTTTACTTTGAGGAAAATGATTTATGCTTCCCTTATGATTTTCCTGTCTTCCTGCAATGAGAGCTGTTTTGGAGGCTGATAACCTGAGAACTTCACTTTAAGCTGTGCAGCAAGCTGGCTCTCCTCTAGCTCTTGGAGGTTTCCATCAAGCCAAGGCTTCCTGTTGGCTAGGGTTGTCAGACTGAGCTGTAGGGGCCAATGGCAGGCGGCCCTACCACAGGCCACGTTGGTATATTAATTATTTAAAATAAAAGTTACTTAAGGAGTGCCTGGGTGGCTCAGTTGGTTAAGTGTCTGCCTTCGGCTCAGGTCATAATCCCAGCATACTGGGATCGAGCCCTGCATCGGGCTCCCTGCTCAGCAGTGTTTCTACCTCTCTCTCTGCCCCTCTGCCTGCTTGTGCTTTCTCTCTCAAATAAATAAATAAAATCTTTTAAAATAAAAGTTACTTAAGAGACAGGCTGTGCAAGGACACTCAGACCTTCCTCTGTCCCCGGGAAGCAGGAAATAAGTCTCCCATGGGAAAGGTACCCTCCCTGCACCAGGAGGTACAAGAGACATCCCTATCACCCAGAGATGGGAAATTTACAGCCAAGAAGGCTGTGTAAACAACCCTTGTTACTTTTTACTAACTGACTACCACAGCCCAAATTCTGTTTAGTATTCCTCACTAATTGAACCTCCTAAAGTTTTCTTTGTCCTGTCAATTCCTCACAAATTTGTCTGTCAAAAAAGTATAAATACTTCCTGCCTTGGTCACTTGAGATCTCAATTTCATTATTGGGCCTCCATGCACACATAATAAAACTTTGGTGTTGGGCGCCTGGGTGGCTCAGTTGGTTAAGCGACTGCCTTCGGCTCAGGTCATGATCCTGGAGTTCCGGGATCGAGTCCCACATCGGGCTCCCTGCTCAGCAGGGAGTCTGCTTCTCCCTCTGACCCTCTTCCCTCTCATGCTCTCTATCTCTCTCATTCTCTCTCTCAAATAAATAAATAAAATCTTTAAAAAAAAAAAAAACAAAACTTTGGTGTTTCTCTCCTGTTA